CTCTACGCTTGCTGCTGAAGATGGGAGCGGAACGTTTATGGGAGTGTCATGAATGCTTTGATATCGATTCTCAATTCAACAATCAATATGTTGTTTAGCGTGCATATCTCCTTATTGTAAGTAGTGTGTATGCAGACGTGTCGCCACCAAAAGTTCAGGAGTTTAGCACTATTATAATTATCAAAGATGCAGGGCTCAAGATGTGGAGAAGGGGAGGGGGGTAGATTCGCCTTGTTTAAATGTGCAATATTTGTATTCATTAGTATTGTCATATGCTGAATGACAAAAAAAAAATATATAATAGTATATTTGAACTAAAATGAAATGCATAAACACATACTAACAAAGAAGATGTCGATACATGGCTGGGAAGGGAAAGGGGTAAGAGGGGGGGGGGACTTAACCTATGGTGTGAGACTGAGCCACTAACAATAATTCGGAGTTCATCGATTCATTGTCCTGTCGTGCCATGATATGTCACATAATGCTGGCAGTCTATTTTTCCATTCCGTAAGTCTAGTTCAGAACCGTTGTCCTCTCTCATGAACGTTTGTTTTAGGGTTTATTGTGAACGTTCTCGTTTCTTCTGTCACTCTGTTTCCCCTATTTCATGGTCTCTTTGATGATTCTCTTTTCATTTTGTTTCCCCAGAATGTGTCTAATATCAGGTCATCTTCTCTCTCTTATAACTGTTGATACTGATGGTTGTTTACACATTTCTCTTTATTTCTTCACACTCTTAAATCCCCACCCCCACCTTTTTGTTTTCCTTTTTTATGGTCGTGGTTTCCCTTTGGTATTTATTATCGAATGCATTTAACTGCCTTTTCTTTTCTTTAGTGGTTTAATAGCAATTTAGTTAGGGGGCTGCGTGATCTCGAGGCATGGTGTTCGCCTCATTTGCTAGAGGTTTCGGGTTCAATCCCCGGTATGGCTGGGATTTTTTTTTCCACCTGGACTTTGACGTTTAGTAATTCACCCTGGTCATTGTTGCGCACGTATGGTCATTGTTGCGCACGTATGGTCATTGTTGCGCACGTAAAAAATCAAAAAGAGTAGGCTAACGGCGTTGCCCGGGCAAAAATTTGGAGTTACAAATTTACACTAAGTATCTCAGGATCCTGGCCGGTGCTACGGAGCCTGTGCACAGTGGTGAGCTTCTTGGGACTCGAGACTTAAATAAACATCCTAGACCTGCACAGTCTGTGGCGACAGCACTAGCGCTTATGAATAGAAAATAAGAACTCACAAACTCAGAGTGGCCCAAGAGACAAATTGCATGTATACATCAAGACAGCGTGACGGACACGTGAATCATGGTATCGATAGAAGCAACGAGGCTACCGACGCTTTCGTGGCATAACCAATATAGGGCACATTTTCCCTAGATTTATTACAACTACTACGGTTTACTGCAGTTAGAAATGAGCACATTCCAGTGCTTGTATTGAATATTTTGATGCTATTAATAATGTTGAATATTACTTACTGTATGAAGGAAATTATATAAGAACGGAGGGAGACCTCGAATTGCAGAATGTTAGACGGGTCTGCGTGCCCAATTCTTAACCCTTTAAAAAAAAGTTTGTTTGTACGTTTGTTCGTTCGCTCTATCTACAGTCCCTAAAAGCGGTAAATATGGCCAGTATTTTTTTCTCCAAATTTTATGTGGTTTCCAATAGTAGTAATTTTTAACATATAACCTGTTCAACCCTCAGGGTTATAATTGCAATATATATATATATATATATATATATATATATATATATATATATATATATATATATATATATATGTATATAGTGTTAATCGAATTTCACAGAGTATACATTTGTTAACTTTTTGTTAAATATCGTGTAATTAATTATATGACTGACATTTAATTCGGGTTGTTTCACATGTTGATTTGATTTGGGTTATGATCATGATAGAACCCATATTATAAATTATTAGACAATATTACTAAGATTGTGTCATTAACTCTTTCAGTCCCAACAACGTTTGTGATGCATAATTATCACTGCTTTGAATTCAACTCAACATTTGTTCTAGTCCTTTTCGTAGTTGGTGACAATATTTTAAGAAATTTAGGAAATATGTCTTCTCTAGAAATTAGGTCTTCAAAAAACAATATTCCTATTCTCTTACTGGTTATTTATACATATGAGAATTTCCGGTGAACACTTCTGGTACTCAGGACATGTTAGATTTTTTATTATTTTTTATTTTATATTTCTAGTAGTGTTCTCTTTTAATGAAAATAGAAATGGTTCACGCGTGACTTTTAAAGACTTTACCTAACATTGAATTACATGCAGACAATAACTGCTTGCCTACATTTGTGTGTGTCCATAGTAACCTGTTGTTTATGAGCTCCACAGTTTTCCGATTTATCTTGTAACCGGAAGTTTTGACTGGCACGAAAACAAACATCGATTTATCAATCAACTTTGAGACTTACCTCGGGGCCAGCATCAAGTTCTAGTAGTTTGTTTTCATCACAAAAACACAAACAAGCAAAAAAAAATATATATATCAGTAGATTTGAATAACTAATGAAACAGTATCACATAACTATTATGCTCTCATAGCAATGAATATGTCCTCTATACTAAAGCGTGGCTAAAATTTGTGAAGAGAAAACTAGTACTCACAAACTCGGAGTAGTCCGAGAGACAAAATGCATTTATGCATCAAGACAGCGGGACGGGCACGTGAATCATGGTATCTATAGAAGCAACAGGGCTACCGACGCTTTCGCGCCACTTGGCCAATAACTGGCGGCAGCTTCGCTTGACGCGCTGTCTTGAAAGAGCGCTTGGGGAAAAGATGGAAGAGCAGGGATCGACCAAAAATCTGGGATCGTTATGAAGTGTGAGTAAATATAAGATTTGGGTCTCGGTGGGTCACAGCGTTCTATTCGGTTTACTGGGAGGAAATTATTGTCACGTCAGTTGTAAATATTTACAACCGAGTGGCATCGATGGGTGTTCAGGTATAATATTAAAAGAACTGATCAGAAGGTTAGTATGGAAATGGATTGATAAATGTCGGTAAAGAGAGATGTCTTTGTAGGGGCACCGAGACACCAATGACACTGGAAAGGGGAGCGCAAAGCCCCATTTACACAATTTCCAGGATGTAATTATAGCCAATTTCTTTCGGATTTTTTGTGTGTGTATAAATATGTGTGTGTATACATGTGGGTGTGTATGTGTCTATGTACGTGTGTATACGTGTGTACATGTGTATATATATATATATATATATATATATATATATATATATATATATATATATGTGTGTGTGTGTGTGTTTGTAGGTGTGTGATCCCCTCCTAGCACCGGCTGAACTATGCAGAAACTGCAGTCATTTATGTGGTTGCTGGGCTCTCTCTCTCTAAACCATACAACTGTAAATGGCATCGGTGCATTTTTCCATGCGTCTTTTTCAGTTTTCTTGCAGTTACATTCATTCCGAATTGCAAATGGCACTTTCTCTCAGATATAACAAAAGTAATCTGCGCTGGTAACACACTTTCGAGACATCCCCACTACCGAAGTTATGCTCCAGTTAACTCATTATTGAACCATTTTTGTAGTTCACCATTTCTTTTTTACTGTTAGGCTCTCGACTCCACGGTCGAAACCACTGAAAGGCAGTCTGCTACAAAATCGTTCACTACTGAGATCGATTTTAGCATCTCAAAATTACGAAGCAAGTTCGCAACCCCTAAGCCACAGATGCCATTTGTTTACAAAGTAGCTTTGATAGCTTTGATATTTCTATCTTTCTACCTATGACCTCTTCCGGCATTTGTTGCCCTGTTTAGCCTTCCTGGCAGTCTGCACTGTTATACAAGAGGAAGTTATTAAGTAAAGGCAATCACCAGATGTGACTTTGACTGGCTAGCACATCGGAGGAGAGATCATGCAACGGAATGTCTAATGTGCAGCGACAACCCGTAGTATCCTTAAGAGGCTGATTACAAGTGGCCAGAACAAAATAAATTCTTACAATGGGCCAAGCACGGCTGTGCATACAGTGGAGACACTATAGGCTCTATGGTTTGACATACTGTAACATCCAGCATCCAGCCCAGACTAGGCACTACCGGGATTTCATTTGGCAGATTGGAAGAACATTTGCAGGGTCAGAGATTTGTAGATGACAGTGATGTGATGGTGGTGCAGAATTCTTACTCGCCACACCCGAAAGTTTTTACCTGGCGGGCATCCACAAGCTTGTGGATCGGTGGACTGCATGTGTTGCAAGACAGGGATACTATCTTGAGAAATAGGACAGAACAGTTTTTTTCCGGTTGCTCGGTACATGTATGAAACATCCATGATAAACAGACAAGCCATTGAATGGCTGCAGAAACTATTTTCTGAGCAAAATGAAAAGAATACCAAAGGCAGTTAGAATATAGAATGAAGCTCTCCTTCAAGAAAAAGATGCAAAATTTAAATTGACTGAAGAAATAAAACATGGATGAAATAAGGCGGGAGTGGGGAGGGGGGGTGGATAGTATGAGGAGATAAAAACTTGAAAAGTTAGTGACAACAGGTAAGCTTCCTAGAAATCCAGCAATCAGAAGACCAACAGATACATACCAAAATGGCTGGACAAAAAAACACAAGGCTAAAAATACATACATGTCACACAATAAAAACCCAAACCAGTGAAGAGTACTGATTACCAACAACAACATTTATTGGTCATGACTTTGGAATGGGAAAACTAGAATACATCATGACAGTGGAAAGTTGAGGAAAAAGATGAACAGACAGGCGATATTAGATAGTTTGACAGCATGACATGGAAGATCGTGCTTTCAGAAATGACCAAAAATGCATGAGACAGAAGGTTACATAAAGAATGACTACCAATGACACACAAGGCATGGACTATGAGAAGAAGAAGATGACGAGACTGGTGTTTGACAATGTTGATCAGCATGTCATACGATGACTAGTGTCCTTCTTGAACATGTACTGTCATATCTTCTGGGCTTGAAGAAGTGAAATCACAGAGGAGGTAGCAAATCCAGCTACAGCTAGAAGCATTACAGTTCCACAGAATCTAATGGTTGGTTCTAGAACATTCCACCTGCTCCTTAACACAGTTGTTGCAGCAGGCTCCACTGTGTGTAACTTCTTCTCTTCAGTGGCAAAGCATATGTCTCTAAGAAATGGGATTAGATCTGCAAGAATAAAAGTGAAAGACAAATTCTTACTATCTCAGGTTTAAATCTGTAGCATGTTTAAAAAAAAGATGTATCCTTCATCTTCTCCTCCTCCTCCTCCTCCCCTTCTCCTCCTTATACATACAACAGGTTTGGAGCTGTAGCATTACTTATACAAAGATAGCTCCTCCTGCTGCTGCTGCTCCTCCTGCTGCTGCTGCTACTACTAGGGGGCAGTTGGTCTATCTCCCACCTCAGAATGGGGTCATGGAATCAACACAAGAGAAATTTCAAAATAAGGCAGCCAACATATAAAAGACTATTTATACCAAATTCAATTTCGTACACATATGTAGACGCACACAATAATGCACTATATCAAATAGTGTTTGCTTGATTGAAGAATAAAAAAAGTTAGTTGTGTTTTTTTACAGGACGTTGCAGAACCAATCCCTGCTTTTTTCTGTGTTTTTTTTTAAATGGAAATTTACATTCAGTAGCATGACACTGCTTTTTTAGCTCTCAATACCAGTGTGACAATCAAGTCAAGGCGATGTGCTGTCAAAACTCATGTTCAGCAGCTTGACGATTTTAGTTTGTTTGGCGGATACCCTGGTTTACAAAGGCGGAAAAGTCTGGCCACTGTGTATAAAAAGGCCAGCTCACTCACCATTTGGGTCTATTTGGTTTCGGGACCGACCCTACAGAACACCGACCCAGCTGTTGCGGCTCTGCACATAAGGTCAGACAGCGTGGGTACGGGCGACTGCAGGGATAAGCCGTGTGCCTCTGGTCGAGCATGTTTATTGCTGTTAATGTATTATTTGTGATTCATAACATTTCGTAAGTATTCTTTCGACATGGAACGCATTATCGTATTTTACATTAATTTATATGGGAAAAATTGTTTGGCATAACGAGTGTTTCGCTTTACAAGTATGATTCTGGAAAGAATTATGCTCGTTAAGCGAGGTTCCACAGTACGTTGATCATGTGTTTAGTTCAGTAAAATAAACAGCTGTTTGATGTGATGATTATAATTCATTTGCTTGATTTAATCTAGGATTTGTAGTCCGTGCACGTGGTTTGTCTAGGTGTATGTACCCATGTAGTTAGGTTGTCGTCATGTAACTCACTATGGAGATATTCTTTGTCTGGGTCTTAGTGAAATAATCTAGGATACCTGCGCAGAGGAACCCTAGTCTTTTCTTGACACTCCTGTTTTTGCTGTTTAGGGGGGAAATTTCGCTTTTGTTCTAATCACAATTTTCTTTTATCTTCCCTACTTCTGTGTTTTTCCTTCTTTTTCTTCCCGCTAGCACACTAGGGTCAAACCTGGCACACTGGCAATTCAAAGTGCATTTGCAACACCTAAACCACAGACGATGACTGATAAAGCTAAGCCCAACCTTTTATGGAGTTTTCTATACAATGAAAATTAACCAACTGGGAATACATCATTTCGCTATTTTATGTTTCACATTGTAGGAACACATACAATTCCTGTGTGTATTTATGCAAATAATAAAGCACTAATTTAGGTCGAAAGATTATAAGGCTCAACCGTGTCATCCCAAGGAAACTTTTTATCCTAAATTTATGAGTTTTTGTTTTTTTAGGATATTTAGTCTTTGGGCAGTGCCCACTAAGCCTATATTATAACTTTGGTACTGGTTTTAACTGCACAGTGTGTAGATATGGTGGGTATATGAATGACAATATATACATCATAAAAAAAGGTTGAGATATTTTATAGGGATAAAATATTTACATGTTTTTAAACTGACTACAGTACACTATCATACGTAGTTCTGGCCCCTTTTTTTCTGGGGCATGTGTACATTTATTGTACACTACTGTAATACACACGTTGTGATGCCTACCAACAGTATTTTTGTTCAGACACTATATAGTAAATACTTTTCTAGAAAAAAGCTATGATGAATGCATTGGAAAATATCTTGGAAGGTAAAGGCAATGGTGTGTGTTAAACTCACTTTGTGGTTTAATAGTACCAGGTGTCAGAGGCGTGATCGCCCAAGCATGTCATGGAGGCACTGGATGATGATGATGGTAGAAGTGAGTGCCAAAAGGTCCACATGGATAAAGTGAGAGACGACTGTTTCTCGAGTTTAGCGAAAGATAGCGGATTCACTCATTTTGCGAGACTCCTGCGTTGCCGGACGTTGGGCTGGAAGGAATCCGGGGTGTCTAGTCAGTGTCCCTCAGTTTGTGATAGTTAGGACGTGTGTGATTTTTTAGTATAATCATGTGTATTATTTTATACTGGTTGAAGTTTAGATTGTTCAATAGAATTTGGTGTATATTTCGTAATGCTCCAGTTGAGTTTATTTAATGGAGACAAGGCGCTGAGAGGCCACCATCTTTTTATGATGCAACTGCGATGGATGTGTTCCTGATCGTATTGGAGGCTGATTGCGACAGTGGGTCGGGAGGCGTAGTGCCGTGGGCATAGCCAGCCTCAAGTCAGCCATTATGAATAGGCTATTGGTGACCCAAAGTGTGGGAACATAACCGAGCGTTTATTAAAGGCTACTGGTGACCCTAGGAGGGGGCCTATAGGCCAAAAGGTGGTAATGTTGTGGGCTCACGTCAAGTCGAGGTAAGGTGTCACCCTTTCAGGTGAAACCGCCTTGAAGTATACCAATGGGTATCTAGGGAGTATTAGAGGAAAGTAGTTCTGTAATCACCAGTTCATCTTCATCGTCACACTGTTTCATCGAAATAAATAGACTGATGCACAATTATAGAGATGCCTCTTCGGCATCTGTGGCTTAACCCTTGCGAACACGCTTCGTAATGCCAGGGTACTGGGTTCGATGCGTCTTCCGTTGGCTTCAACAGTGGTATCGAGAAGCTGACTGTCCAGGAAGCAATGGCAAACTATTGGACTGTGTTAGTTAAGCTATGGGAACCCAATTAGTCGGGAGAAGGCTGACTTGGCAACTTGTATATATGGTTGAAGCTTTACGTTAATCATTCATCCGCTAGATACTTAACCACAGGCAGCAAGCATGATGCTGACCCTGTCACCCAATGGGTGCCGGTTGCTCCATACAAATGTGACCCTAGCACCATCTGCCTGATGTGTGAGGTGTGATAAAAGATACTTTTACTCTCACTACAAACAAAAAACTAAAATGGTTTGGACCTTTTCCATGCCCTTAGGTATATAGTATGTGAGACCTTATCTTACAGACCAATATAGTACTTGGTGGGTGATGTGGTCAACATCACGCCAGCCACCTTTACTTCCCAGAGGACTTTACCTGGCACCTGTTTTTGGCTGGTTCAGGCTAATTGACTTGCAGGCAGGAATCAAGCTCCCACTCAAACGAAAGCAAAATCCAAACAAGCAGAGACATGACATCAACTTACTGGAACCACCAGTTCCTCGCTCATCCAGGCTTTTATTAATGCTTTCATTTGCTTTCCTTGATGGGATGACAACATACCTAGGTGACGAACACAAAGACAGCAATACTTGTATTTTTTTGTAGGAAAAACAGAATTGAATAATTATAATCAGGACTTGTTTGTTGTCTTGTGGTACACAACGGTATGCAGTATCAACACCTTTTTAGGGCAATTTTTTCCCAAGCACTACTGTAATAAACCCTTAGTGGCATCTGCCACCACCTTTAGATCTTTACAGTGAGCACACACTTTTTTCAGAAAATCAAAGCCCTAATAAAATTAATAGTACTAACAATAGCAATAACCAAAGTCACAGTGATAAGTAAAATGTTTAGTAATTATTGAGGATTATCATCACAGCACTCTTAATAGATCCATAGGTGCTTCAATCCTCTTTTCAAAATGAAAAATGACTGATTACACCTCTTCTCTGTTGATTAATCTAATGTCTTGTGCCCTTGGTGAAATATTCATTTCTTGCAGCTCCAGGCTGCACTTCCATGTCTATCAGCCTAGACGGGGATACACAGTCATGTACTTTTCCATATTTGTGTTCGCAGTAAGCGCTGACCCATGATATTGACAACATTCACTTCTGACCAGTGCCTGATCTGCCACAGCAACCACAGTGTCTGCAAGATGATCTGCATGCTAATCGCCTCCAACACCTTCATGCCCTAAAGGACCGTACCAGGGGTGCATTTAGTATATATATAGTAAATATTTGTATGCGCCAGTCAGCACTTGCTGGTTGACATGGTCAATCTTTGATGTTAAGGATCCATTTTAGGTTGGGTTTGCCTGGGAACAATGATCAAATATGAAAAATATCAGACTCGATGTGGATACAAATCCTAGATGGCATGCAAGCCTTTATCCTTTGCACTACTGCTGATCCAAATAATATTATATTTGCAGAATGTCGCTCTCATCACAGTCTGCCTGAAAGAAATGCAGTCTCTCACCAGATCCCCCACCTCATACACTTTGGTCCAAGGTGTCTCTTATATCCTGTTCCCATCTTTGTTCTGGTCAGTCCCTGCCCGCTTTCCCAATCCGTGCCTTCTGCTACTATTCTTTCCAGTTCACCGAGGCCCTTGATATGGCCAACACATTTCAGTTTCTGGGACAGGATACTTTTTGTTACCCAATCTTCTTTATGTTTTGATCTTTCAGGATGTCAGTATTTCTTTCCTTTTTTGGTTCATGGTATTCTGATAATCTTTCTATAGCATTTCTGTCAAAAGTTCCAGTTTTATTCCTTATTGACTGTGAGATAGTCCATGATTCAAGTCCAAACATCGTGGGGAGTAATCATTTACGATCCAGTGCACGTTGGCTGCGACTGGCTATTGTCATGCCCTGAAGGCGTAGAGTGTCTTTAATGTTGTCTATCCATTATTTCGTGGCCGTCCTCTTGCTCTTGTAGCTGATCTTCTGAGATTTAGTGCTTGTGATGGTGCCAACTGGATTGACAGGGAAAAAAAGAGTTTATAATAGAGATATATAACCAGTCCTGATGTATGAAAGTGGATCATGGACATTTAGTAGATTCATAAGAAATCCTACAGAAGCTACAGAGATTACACAAGATTGGTCAGAATTCCAGGAAACCCATTTTGGGTTTAAGTTTTGAAATTTTTTTTTTTTTTTTTTCAATTGACAAAGAAAGATTGCACAAAATATCGTTTATTGTGTAAAATGCTTCCTTTGCTCTATACGTAGTTCAACATTTTTGTTGGTTCCATGTAACATGAATACATTTGTTCTTTATTTTCTAAAGACTGTAGAAATTAACAAATAGTCTTCTTTATTTTGTAAAATATCTTTGATTTACTTCTATCGAGGACCCCTAATACTTGAATTTCTATTATTGTTCCAAATTAGTACTATACATTGTGAGGGTTCTTTAACTATTCGGCACCATTAACTCATCATGCATGGATTTATAACTAATTTAACTGTTAACTATTGCAGAAAATTTCGTATTCATCATCATGTAGCAGGTCCTTTGCAGAACGTCGCTCTCATACCAGTCTGCGTGAAAGAAACTCGGTCTCTTGCCAGTTCTCACGCCTCATGTACTTTCATACTCAAGGAGTCACTTATATCCTGTGCCCATCTTTGTGTTGGTCGGCCCCTGCCCCTCTTTCCTGGTACCATGCCTTTTGCTGTAATTTGTTCCATACTGTCGTCGAGTTTGATTTGACCAAAATATTTCAGCTTCCGAGACAGGATGCAGGGCACTCACTTGCCCTAGCAATAAAAAAGGTTGCTGAAAGCTGAGGATGAAGTCTAAAGCCATGTGGATATGGAAAGCAATGGGAAACTATTTATTTCATCATGAAAGCCAAATGTCCTATTACAAATGTCAATACTAATGTCAATTAAGGCAAATAAGTACACTTTGCAAACGTAAAGAAATACTAATTAAATACAAGAGTCTAGCCACTGTGCTTCTGTGACATCCACACTTAAAATTACCCATCACAACACTACAGAGGTTTTATTGCTTATTGAGAACAGAACTTTAACAATACAATAAATATACATGTTTTTTCTCAAATATGCTCAAACAGTCTTACATTTTTACAATCTTTATATGATAATCCCTCAACTCTTGAAGGGTAGATAAACATCGGTTGTAGCTGGATTTTAGTGCCTCATTGCTGCTTGATATCACTGGAAATAAAGTCACATTATTTTCATTTATTCCTTCAGTCTTTGCTCATCTTTAGAGGGAACTAAACTGGCTTATGGGTACCATGTGTCCTTTCTGATAAAACTTTCCATGCCATTGCCAAAATATCCAACAACTTCTCTCTTGTCTCCCTGTCTGCATCTTAAGTTTCATCTCACGATGTGCCCCAAAAACATGTAGATTGTCTCCTTCTGACATAGGCAACCTTGATAGTTTATTTCTCTTTCAAGACATATTCATTTCACTTTGTATCTATCCATGAAGGTCTCAGTATTCATATATTAAATCACAGCTCTGCAGCTTGCGCAACATTTGTGTAGTAAAGGGTTGACTATACATGATTCTTTATATATATATATATATATATATATATATATATATATATATATATATATATATATATATATATATATATATATATATATATATATATTTAAAGACAAATCATTGTGGAACTGTACAGGGTTCTCAGTGCAGCACAGGTTCAGGGGGACTGAGTCAAGAGATTGATTGGCTCACCAGTTTAGTTTTGTGGTGGTGTGTTCAGTAGGTAGATTGTATTAGATCTAGATTCCCTTGTGCAATCTGATTTAGAGAAGGACTTTGTGCAAGTGACCTGTCTAGGTCCTTTCTAAGTAGTTATATGAGTAAAATTAGATGTTACATAACAATTCTGTTGTTCGTTAAGTAGTGGTTTGTGTTTACTGTTCACGTAGTAAGCTTACTGTGTATTTATATCATCCTATATTGCCTTATGTCGATTGTCAGTGTAACACTTGCCTTCAACAGTTGACTGAACAAAAAAAGTTTTTGTCTTGGATAAATTAGATTTTTGTCATATAGTTACTTGGTTACTGTCACTGCTAGTTAGGCTTCATACAGAATATGTCCTGACAGGGCTAGGACACCATAGGTCTTAATCAAACATTTTTTTTCGTGTTACTTAAGCATCTTGGGTGTGGGTTTCAGCTTCCACTGTCCTTGACATTCTTTGTTGGAGCACTTGTAGGCTTGGAGTAGAGATAGGTTCAATGAATATATCTGTTCCGTCTCTGTGTTTCCCCTGCCTCTAAACAACATTTCCCTTAGGCTGGCTTTTAGTGTGTGTGTATATATATATATATATATATATATATATATATATATGTGTGTGTGTGTGGGGGGGGTGTGGGTGTGTGTGTGTGGGTGTGTGTGTATGTGTGTGTGTGTGTGTGTGTGTGTGTGTGTGTGTGAACTCTAATTGGCAAAGATAGATTACGTAGAAAAGGAGAATATCACGTGCTTACCAAATTGTCTTAATGGGTATGGGTATTGTTCAATGTCTTCAACAAAACGTCTATGACTTGGTAACATATAATTCCTCATTTCAGTTAGAAAAATTCTTTTGTCTGGAAGAAAACAGTACACACTTAATGCAAATAATTTTTAGTGTCTGAAAATAAAGTTAATAAAACAAAAGTGCTATAAACATTTACTGGAGAAAATGCAGTCAATTAAGGCATTTTGTTCATGCAAGCCTTAATTAAATATTGTGATCAATAATGATGAGGTACAGAAGACAAGTAAACTAAGTCTGGTGGATCAAGAGGTGAAGAAAACATATTGGTATTGGATTTAACACACCCCCTGTGTGAACTATGGAGTCCCATATATGGTGAAAGAAGAATAGACCCACCATTCCTTAAAAAGCATGTTGTAAAAGGTAACTAATTTAAACTATACAATACAATACAGTTAGCCTACTTACTTCCTTTAAGGGTAAACAAAGAAGAAGAAGATTTAACACACATTCAAAACATTTGATAATTAGTTACTAGATCTTTACTTAAAATAACTAGAATGTTCGGTGCTTTATTATTATCCTAACACAGATGTCCGTGGCTAAGGCGTTGCGAGTCTGACTCGTAATCCAACGTACCGCGATCGAAACCTGCGTGGGCTGCGTGGATTTTTATCGTGGTATGGGACGTCGCAGGTCGACCCAGCCTCAAATGGGTACCAGGATGGGCTGTCCTGGAAAAGTAAAGACGGCCAGCGTAATGCTGACCACATTACCCACCGAGTGCCGATTGGTCTGTAAAAATATGGGTGCTCTTCCCATATGCCCGATGCGCCTAAAGGCGTGTAAAGGGATCTTTACTTTACTTTACTTACTTACCCCAGATGACATCACAGACAGTCCAACATTTTAGAGGGTGGTAAGACTGGATTTCCTGATTTTCTGATGCTTTTAACGACCCCAGCCTAGGTTCTACGACTGCATGCAGCAGTCTACCACCCCCTCAAATATTAGACTGTCCCATGACCTGTGGATTTCACCTGTTTGGTTTGAAGCTCTGAATGTTCTTACACAACCACATCAGCCATGCACTCAGATTGGATAAGACAAGACTTTCCCAACAAGCACTCATATGGAAAACAGAAGAGAAAAGAAAAAGGGGAAGACCAAGAGAAACTATATTTAGAAGCATTATCAGGGAAGGCTCAAACATCCAAGATCTAAAGCAGGTGGCAATGAACCGCCCGACATGGAGAGCTATGACCTCTACCCCCGTGTGCTGCCCTAGGCTCAAGAGGAAAGACTAACTATTCTTGCACACTTGAACACAAGAAATATAGGCTCCCAAAAATGTAGAGAGTTAGATAAAGAAGAAAAGATGTGGAAGAATCTGGAGTGAACAGCACGCGATGGCAAAGGATAGGACAACTTGGCAAGAATTTGTGTTCTATGCTCCATTGGGAGATAAAGGAGACAGGAGACAGAAGCAACAGAAAAGTAGCGTTACACTCAAAGTATGTGCATTTTCTGATATTGCATTTTACTGCTCTTTCAGTTTTCCTAAACTATTGAAAACACATTTTTTAATAGTTCTTTTTTTTTTTTTAGTTTATTTTAAAGATGAAATGTCAAGTCATAGAAATAATTAAAATAATTTGAAAGTATTTAAAAAAAAAAAACACCTTTTCAAATCCTTTGCCACTGCGTGCAGCTCATCTCACATTCTCTGCATCTATTTTCACATCATTCTTTAATTTGCAGAACATTTTTAGACATTTTAAACTTCATGTCTTTTATTTTCAGATTTGAACTGTTCGTTTTCAGTGTACATTGTAAACATTATTAAATCCTGTAAAGCACAAAGCTAAATGTGTTTAGATATTTGTTTATCATTATTATGATCATCATATTGTTTTGCTGCATGCAGTATATTCCTAATTTTTTTTTTAATCCTAGCTGGTGCTGGTGCTACAGAGCTTGTGCTCAGTGCTGAGATTCTGCTTAAGTGATCTGGTTTGATTTGATTCAAGAATCAACATCACAGAACTTAGGGCATTCCCATAAGCACTCCATCCCAATCCTCAGCAGCCAGTGCAGAGGTCCATTACCAGTGGTGACAAGAGCAGTCTGATTATATGTAGTCTTGCCTTTCCTCTGAGCGTCGGGTATCTACCAGAGCCTTTCCCAAAACACTAGCATGACAAAAATCCAGACAAGGCTCTTCGCCTTGAACTCCAACGCGAAGCATGTCACTCTGCCTGTTCTCACCTTTCTCAGCATGCTTTCCGGATCAATTACAATCACGATGTGAGTGTGTGTGTATTGCTTTCTTTAGCCAGCGGCAGCTGCAGTGGCTGCCTCTAGCTCCATTCTTAAGCTAGATGCTGTGGTATCATATGCTAGGCTCTCCTGCACCATTAGCTTTTGCTAAAAATCCCCAGGCACTTCGTTTGCCTCTTGGCTCTGAACCATCTCTATAAATCACTTCACATGAGTAAGCATTATCCTGAATTAATTGCTGATGTGATCTATAGGAGGAGACTGGATCCCTTATAGAAAATCTGTGTGCAGTCGTCTTTGGTTTTGTGCCAGGGCATGAGTTTTGTGTGTACATCCATTCTAGTTGTTTATTTGTGTGCAGTTGATCGTTTCTTGGCGCTCAGGCAGATGAACTCTGATTGTTTCTTGCCGTTGAGGCAGATGAACTCTGATTGTTTCTTGCCGTTCAGGCAGATGAACTCTGAATGATTGTTTCTTGCCGCTCAGGAATATGAACTCTGACTGATTGTTTCTTGCCGCTCAGGCAGATGAACTCTGAATGATTGTTTCTTGCCGCTCAGGCAGATGAACTCTGAATGATTGTTTCTTGCCGCTCAGGCAGATGAACTCTGAATGATTGTTTCTTGCCGCTCAGGCAGATGAACTCTGAATGATTGTTTCTTGCCGCTCAGGCAGATGAACTCTGAATGATTGTTTCTTGCCGCTCAGGCAGATGAACTCTGATTGATTGTTTCTTGCCGCTCAGGAATATGAACTCTGATTGATTGTTTCTTGCCGCTCAGGCAGATGAACTCTGAATGATTGTTTCTTGCCGCTCAGGCAGATGAACTCTGAATGATTGTTTCTTGCCGCTCAGGCAGATGAACTCTGAATGATTGTTTCTTGCAGCTAAGGCAGATGAACTCCAACTTCGAAGGAAGCTTCCAGTTAGTCGACTCCCAGACATGTATTTCTGGGTAGGCGGTGGTTTATTCTTGTTTTCCCTCACAGTGGGAACCCGGAACCTACGCGAATACTGTTTTCAGTGAAGAATATCTACATTTTAACCTCTTTAAAAAAAGAACACGTATGCAACAAACCAGCTGTATGTTCAACTCCAAGTAGAGAATCTAGAACTTGTAAAGTTGTGCTCTGGGCTCCACTTCCACCTGTTAGCTACAGTAAAGTAAACAATTAGTAGAAAGCACAATATTCTACACAAATCAGATTACAGATACAGCCTGGATGCAGATTGGAAGGCTTAAAACAAATGGTAAAAGCGGCCCATACATATACTACAAAAAGTGTTGTATTTAGGATATACGATATCAATGTGTAGTCATTTATTCTACACCCCGTCCTTATAAATTTACATTTTGTGATACTAGTTATACTGTGCCGCCTTCGCAGTTATGCTGACCTGTGTAGATGCACATACCTAAATATGGCCCTCTCTCCATGTGGCCCTATTTTAGGGAAAACAAGGATGGACCTACTGCCTACCCAAAAGCATGTCGTAAGAAATAACTAACTGGGAGCTTTCTTCAAAGTCAGCGTGTGTCGCCTTATTTGTAAATAGCAAAAAGTATTTGATGTGTGATGTGGCTACGATCATGCCAAATGCATTTAACTTCTCCGGACCTTACACAGTATCACTTTTAGACTGGATCAACATGGGAGACAATGCCATTTATTAAAAATAAATAGAACTCAGTGAGGATTTGAACCTAGTTCCTTTGGATCAGCAGGAAAGCATCTAGCCACTACATCACCCCAGCTCCCACTAGTGAAAGCTGTGAAGTATCAAGTATTCATACATTCTAGGCTACAATGTATGGGATGAGATACCTGTCTTATCACCTTTTCTTCACAGGCTTTTCTAAGAATATTCTGAAAATTATCTGATTTCAACCACCAATGCCTTTCTGGTGGCCATTTCTGGGTCTATCTGGCAGTCAAGATCAATTTTGAAAAAACATAACTGTCTTGATATGGTTTAGAATCCAAGATCTTTGGACTAGGAGGCACTACCTTATTCCCATGGGAAAACTCATTGACTGTATATATATATATATATATATATATATATATATATATATATATATATATATATATATATATTTCAACTGTATATTTCACTACCAGCAACTGATCCAGAGGGTGCAACACTAGAGACAAAAATAATTAAATAAACAGATCAGTTTACTTTTTTTATTTAGTAATTTTGATGATTATCATCAAGTGCCTTGCCAGCTGGTATAGGCTTTCATGCATCTCCCCAGATCTCAGGCTTTGGTATTCTGGATCACTTCCACTGATGATATTTGCAATTATCTGCTTTGCAATAAGATGACTCGTTGTCTGGATGATGGTATGTGTCGTAAATGCTTTTAGCACACATTCTACGTTGACATAACTGGGATAAGCTGACACCGACTTAAGCACGATAATCTGTTTATTGACATCATAACACTCGCATGGCTATCCAGTCCTTGACCTAGTAAACAGCTTTCACACACGATATCACTGGTTCAATATAAGAACAGAACAGGCTCAATATAACATTTTAGTACTTGTTTTCTGATGTTTAATGACAGTGAATTATTACCTAACATACTTTTCATCTTTCGAAATGCTGTCTTTGCCTGGTCAGTTCTACTCCTAATTTCTGTCACACAATGTCCATCAGATATTATGAAGGTTCCCACTTACTTGAATTTATTGACTTGATTAAGAACTTTGCCTTCTATTGCTAAGTCCCAGTCTGGAGTGTGTTTGTTGTGTTGTTATTGCTATAACCAGTGTTTCTGTTTTCTTGAGATTCAAGGAAAGGCCGTTTTTTGCACTCAATAGTGCCCCAACATCTAATAGTTGTTATAGGTCTTCTGCATTTTCAACTGCTAATACTGTAATTGTGATAGTGAAGGAAATACCCAAAAAAAAAAAAAAATATGACAGGCACTGGCAAGGCATCAGCAGCTTTTAATAGCTTGAACAAAATATGGAACTCTAAATTGTACAGTTTTAAAACCAAGTTATGTATTTTCAGTTCTAATGTTAATTCGGTTTTAACATGTGGAAGTGAAAGTTGGAGAACCACTACAGACATGAAAAAAAAAAGTTTAGTGAATTTGAAAACAAATGTCAGAAAAAAATTATATGACAATAAAATGGTATGAATTCAGTAGGATTGAAGAATTAAGAGAAATGTCTGGGCAACCACTAGTATCAACATTCACTGGACACATCCTGAGAAGAAACCAGCAGAGAATCACAAAACAGGCATTAACATTGGAAATAAAGGGACTTTGGAGGCGAGGAGGCCCAAAAGAAACCCTAGGATAAACATTGATGAGAGAAACCAAAACTGTTGGACTCGATTCCATCTATGATATTAAACTGATTGCTCAGGATAGAACAGATACAAGAATATATTGTGAGCCCTATATGACATATAATGGCACAACAAGATAATGAATAAATATACTTTACTGAGAGAAATAAAACTAGAGAGAACTTACCTTGACTGGAATGTCAGATACGCCTTCATATATAAGACCTTCTGGAAGTGGACTTTTATCCCCTCCCCACCTGTAAATAAAGTTATCTTATAAAATTATGATGACAAACTAATGGAGACTGAAATAAATGTCCTTGTAGATGGTGTGAGAATCTCAGTCTGTAGAAAAACTTTAGCAGTAAAATCCAGTCAAGTCTAAAAGCCTTAACATGAGTTGGTTAATGACCTATTGTCCCCTGTGAGATCTGACAGAAAGTTCTGGCTGTCTGTCCATTTCAGGACATTCATCTTTTCCTAGAACTTTAGTGTTGTATGAACATCCATTTTACCCATTTAGCTTAAATTGTATACAAACTGTTGGTTCTTCACCTCTTAGGCTCACACTTTTAAGGAAAGATCTCTAATTAGTCACCTTTGTTGACAATGCTTGGCAGCAGGTCTATTATTTCTCCATCTCAAAATGGTGCCCTTTGAACCCAAACTCCCCATGTAGGTTCTGACCCCATGAGGAAAACAAGAATAGACCCACTGCCTCCACAACAAACATGTCAGAGTTGACTCATTGGAGAAACTTTCTTCAAAGTTGGAGTGCATTTGCCCGAATGGCCAGGAACAACCAACTGCACATAAATAAGCCAGTAAAATTGATTTACATGCAAACCTCAGACCCTGGCACAAAATCAAAGTCAAAACGGATGAACAACCAATTTTTTCTAGCAGAGCTTATAGCCGGTGAACAAAGAAGATGAAGGCCTGGTGAACAATAGGAGATAAAAGGCAGGAAAAAGGGTGAGAAGATGCAGCTACTGCCTTTAGAAGTTATTGCAACTTTTAAAGGTTAGTTGCGTATCCTTTACAGAACGTTGCAGAACCAACTCCAACAGCCCCTGGCTGTTTTGTGGTTTTTCTAGGCAAATTTACGTCCAGTAGTTTGTCATTGCTTCCTGGACGGTCGGCTTTCTTGATACCACTGTCGATACCAACGCAAGGCGCATGGCCCGCAGCTGGGATCGAACCCGGTATCCCGGCATTACGAAGCGTTACAATTCACTTAGCCACAGAGCCGACGCATCTTTTAAAACCAGCTCTAATTACAATATATATTTTTCGTTACAGTTCAATGTTACAGATTTAACTCTGTCTACAAACTGTTAGTCGTCCCTCCCCATCGACTGTGCCTAAATTTTAAATTTCATTTCTCCCCCATAACAAATCCACAAAATCAAGACATTAACATCAAGTTTTTTTTTTCCTCGATCCTTCCATGGTAAGTGGTCATGGTAAAGGCTGTCTGGAATCAAGTGAATAGGGTAACAGAATAGAAAGAGCATCCATTCCTTGAAAGACTGAATCGGGCAGAGGGGAACGGGCAGAGGGTCTGGATGGTTTTCAACACCCAGGGGAAAGGAAGGCAGACTTTTAATCATGTTGCTTCCCGTGTGGGTTCTAGAGGGCCCATTGTATGGAAAACAAGAACAGACCCACTGCCTCACGAACAAGCATGTTGTAAAGGTCGATAATTTGGGGCTTCCGTCGAAATAGGGTTGCATCTGTTTTACAGGCAAGGAACCAACAATCTGCAAACATATAAATCAGATCAGTTTAATGGATGTGCACGTAACAAGCAGGCTCTGGAACAAGACTAAAGTCCAGCCGTGGACAAAGTACCAGAACTTTTTGCCAGAGTTAAAAGAATCAGGTTGCAACAAGCACCACCAGTATGGAAACTCTATGCTGGCTACTGAAAGAGAGAACAGGTCACGTGTGGGAATGCCCTGAGTGAAGAGATGTCACTTCTTGATTCATTCATTCATTCCAAATTTCATTCTGCTGCCATTGTTCATGTTTCACATTCATACAGCAGTAAAAGTCAAGGACCCTTTTCCAATCACTTACGCACACTGGGTATATAGTGATCGATTTATACTTGCACTTGCTGAGTGATATGGTGAACATCACACAGGCTGCCTTTATTCCCACGACTTTACCTGGTACCCATTTTAGTCTTACTAGAACTGGTAGGAAAGGTAATTTTTTTTAGAAAAGAAATCCGGTATACAGCAGTACAGCTGTAAACTCTCAGTATCAAACAATTCTTCTTATTGTTATAATTCATGATATGTGGTGTTGGTAGTCATGTTTAAACACATCCTTCTGTCCCACCTACTTTCAGTCAGTTCTCACATAACTGAGCTTCTATGCCATGATGTCAGACTGTCCAGCATCGTTTCTCTCATTCCTCTGCCTTTTTAACCCTTCAACTACCCCACCGTCAAGATGTCCTCAATTTTCTGCCTCGTGACATGACTAAAGAATGAAAATTGTCTCCTTTTGATGTGGGCAATCAGTTCTTTTCGCGAGATACTTTCTCTTGAAGACATTTTCAAAACTCTTTGAACAAACAATTCACAATTTTTGCTTTACCATATGGTAGTGGGCATTCTAAAGAGGGCCATGTATCGTCTGCTGAAATCCAAAACAGAGAGCGGTCACTGTCTACCTCTTTCTGACCCCTAGTGTTCTTATATAAACCTTTCTCAATCTAAACATTTTATTTCCGAAGAAAAAATACTATGGAATCATATAGTTAAAGTGCTACCTACCCAATACTAATAGAGTTAATCAGAAGGGGGAAAAGGGTGTTAAAAGGTAAAACGGTAAAGTCGGGAGATGTGAACCAGCGTCATTGCACACGGTTATAAACCATAAGTACTCTGCCACCAGTACGGACAGCTGATAAGAAACTGTCTGCAAGTGTCTTCAGCGATGTTCCTCCATTTACCCCATAGTGTCAGTCTGGTACCCATTTCCTAGAGGATGAGTGAACCACGGGAACCACCCGGTTTCGAACACCGACCGTAGCTGCAGCAAGTCGCAGATGGATTTAAAAGCGAGCCTCCTATCGACTAGGCTAACGCGGCTCCTGCGTGTCAAGTAAGTCTCAAGGTGTAAAAGGTGTCAAGTTACATCTTTATACAGAAATATGTTCAAAAAATGATAGAAATACGTCATAAAATATTGAAAAAGGCATCAAACATAAGATTATGACTTACAAAGAAGTAACAAGTGAGTTAATGTAAAAGTAAAGGACTTTTCTTCGACACACCGAAGTTTCTTCTTCCTCATTTGCCATTAAAATGGCAGTATTCGATTCTATTCATTTTTTTTATAATAATTTTTTTTTTTTTCAACATTGGACCCCCGAGCCTACCCTGGGAAATCTTGAGGCATATTTGGTGCGTGGTGCCAGCCATAAATTGTTACAGGTAATTCAGCACTTATTGGGTTCTGAGGTTAATATCATGAATGCCCACACATAAACATTTCCTAGCATCGATTTTTTGGGTCTAAGTTGATGTCGGTGTCAAGGATATTTGTTATTTAAATTTATTAATGAAGAAAAAAAGCAAGTTTACTTACCCATCAAGAAATGGACGAATGATATCAAAGAATGATCTTGCATCAAGGTGGTCTAAATTGGGGACGAATAAATTACTCTATGGTTAGAACATACATTTTTAAATGGCACAATGATTATGTTTCTTTCTTAAAATTTGTAAAAATCAATTTATAAATACAAATGATGGCAAACTAAAATGTAGAATTTTCATCTTAAACTAAACAATTATACAATAACTTTGTGGGGCATTACTCAGTTTATAAATACAAAAGATGGCAAACTAAATTTTAGAATTTTTAAATGATACTAAACATTTATACAATAAATATGTGGGGCATTACATACAATTTATTAACTAGTAGACCTTCTTCTTCATCTTTACTTCCACCAGGTGCCCCATCAAGATATTGGGAGAAGATGTGTGAATCTTCTGTGTGCTTTTTTCATTGTATAAGTTGATCTTTTTGAGGCTGTTCTTGATGCCATCGCACAATATTTTGCGTGATCTTCCCCTTGCTCTGTGTTTTGTTACAGTTCTTCAGCATGACTGTCTCTGACAGTTAATACCAGGGCATTCTCATCAGATGGCCAAACCAAACTAGATAAGTATGCTATACTAATAACAGCATCGTGAGTTCAGTGGTTGTATTTAGTACTTTGATAACAGTGTAAGATAAATTAGTTTTTAGCTGCGTATCCTTTACAGGACATTGAAGAACCAGCCCCAGCATTTGTTGGCTCTTGTGATTTTTCTAGGCATATTTATGTCCGGTAGTTTGGTCATTGCTTTCTGGACAATTCGCTTCTCGATACCACTGTCGAAACCAACTCAAAGAGCAAGGGCCGCAGCTGGGAGCGAAACTACCACCCCTGCATTACGAAGCCCGTTGGCAACGTCCCACAGACGCCGACATTAATGAAGTTAAAAGCAGGATAACCTAAGATGACTAGATGAAGAATATTCATGTAACATATCTCTGTCAATGGAGGCAACACATTAATGCTTAAGAGCTAAACACAGCCAATCCTAATGTATGGACGTGAATTATGGACAATTTGCAGATTAGTGAGAAACTTTGTTTTAACTGTTGAGATGTTGTTTTATAGAAGAATGATTAAAAAAAACGTAAACAGATAAAAATTCAAAAATGATGACTTGCAAGAAATAAACAGACAATGATTACCAGAATAAAATAAAATGGCGATATATGTTCTTCAAGCTCATAATAAGAGTGGTGGGAAAGGGGGAATTGGAGGGAAGGGGGAGAATTTGTATAGTACTTGATGACAACAATACAATTTAATGGAAAGAGAGGCAGGGCAGACCAAGAAAAAAAGATATTCGAAAGTTTAGCATCCAGGAAAGGGGTGGGGGAGGCTTTGGTATCAGAAATTATTGACTAAATAAGAAATAGAACAATGATACAGATATAATAACAAAGGCCCTGCAGCATGCAAAGACGACTATTTAAACTTCAATACCAATATCCAGGACTGTTGTCTAGAAGAAAATGGTGCCGGCACTCACCACAAAGTGTCTTGAAAAAGATGCGGGGATGCCCCACAAAGTATCTATTGCAGAAGCACTGAAAAAATGCCTTAAAGGGTAGTGGTACTAGTCAGCACTGTGTGCTGACCGGAAAAAGGCCCAGCTAATAGTGCCCTCTATTTTAAGTATAAAGTAAGTGCAGTAAAACGTGTTTTACTATTTGAATTGACCTTCGAAGTCAGAGTGCATCTGCCTGAGAGGTAATGAACCAACAATCTGCATACAAATAAGTCAGATCTGTAAAATGGATGTGCACACAACTTTTAGGTTTTGGAAAATTACTATAAAGCCCAAAAGTGAATAAACAATCAAAACTTTCCGTCAGAGTTTTTTCAGCCAGAGAACGGGAAGAAGAAGAAGAGACTACTTAAATTTAGTTACACAAATAAGCATAAAAAAAGAAATAATATTGGGGGGGGGGGGGGGGGGGGGTTGGAAGGGGGGCAATAATAGTGTCACATTTTTTTCTCAGCCAAATGTGAAATACATTCTTTTCTTAACGTAAGGAAGTCTTGCTAGTCACACTCGCCATCGCCATGGGTTGTGATTTCCATGCCTCTCTATAGCACAATATAACACTATCATCCGCAAAGACGGAAGATTGCCAACAAAATATGAAGATAAACGAATGGGTGCTTCTTTATATTTTACACCAAACAGGGAAAATCCACAGGTCACAGGACAGTCTAATATTTCAGGAGGTGGTAGAAAGGCTGTATGCAGTCATGGGACCTAGGCGGCACTCTCGCATGGGACGTAGGTTGGTTGGTGTTAGGGCCAGTTCTAGATGTTGTGGGGTCGTTAAAAGCACCAAAAAGCTGGAAAACCCAGTCTTACCATCCCCTAAAATGCTGGACTGTCCTGTGACATTATCTGGGGTAGGACTTTACGAAAGAATCAAAAATGATGTTTTACATGATGTATGGGTGTATGAGTGGGAACAGTTTCCAGAAAATGAGGCAGAGGCCGACTTCTGAGATGGATACAGAACATTGAAGATGCATTGGCTATGAAAGCATAGAGAGCTGGAGAATTGGCTAGAGAGAAAGACTTCCAGGTGTGTTACGAAGAGAGCAACCTTCGGTAATGGGTATGCTGATTGACTGATGTGTATGTATAAAATGGTAACTCATTTTGAAAAAAACAAAATTACTGGTTGAGAAAAGCAAACTGTTGAACATTCATAAATGTTTTGCATAAGAGCACCATTGATTACTGGGTCAAGTGAGTTAGAGCTTCAGAATGTAGAGAGACCGATATGGGGATGTTATTCATGCTCTGAAGAAATGGCTATGTGAACAGGGCCAAATCTGATACAGGCATGGCGTAGATGCTTTTGCTCAACGCTTGTGTCAGTTCAGAGAGTATATAGAAAACTGGGATGTGTCAAGGATATAATGAGTTCTGTTGTCAGTGAAGTTGATACATTTTGCATATGGGGATTATCACTTTCTGAATGTCCCTCATAATATAAAGATATGCAGAAGGAAGGCAAATATACACTGCTATATCTGATCTGCTACCTGCCTTGGTAGTTCTTGGTTCTAAACACTGCTTATGATAAATCAAAAACATACCACGCATTCTGGACAGTGAATATTTCATGTCTTTTATGGATCTACTGACTTCCTCCAAGCAAGTGCTTATTTTATCCTCAGCTGTCGTTGCTCCTGTATTACTGATTTGATTCGTGGATTTTGCAGAACCAAGTAATTCTAGAATCTGTATAATAGCCTATAAGTAAATGATAATCATTATAATTTTAACAAATAGCAGCAGGGGAAGATTGGGGAATAAGTAGAGAAGGAGAATAAAGAGAATGAGGAAAAGATGACCAAAAGTGGGAAGGGGAGAGGAGGAAGAAAAAAAAGAGAGTGAAGAGGAGGAAAGATGAAATTTAAAAAAAAAATGATATCAAATAAATTAACTGAGGTGAAGTAGCTATTGTTGTAGTAGAAGAATAAATAGACGCGCGAAAGGAGGAGGAGGAACGAGTAGCAGGGAAAAGAAAAGGAAAACAGAAATCAGGAAAGAATTTTGTTTTTTCTTTAACATTTTAAATAAAAAGAAGAAGAGCAACAACAAAGAACTTAGTTTTGAAATAATAATCATAAAATAGGACTTAGTTGGATTTGTTAATAAATTTAAATAAGGAAAAGCTTTCTAATTAGGCTTTATGGAATCTAAACAAAAGTAATGACTATTTCTTTTGTTGTCACTATTGCAGTCTGTCTGTGTTACATGTTATAGATGGCTGTAGCTGCCTGCAGGTCAAATAGTTTTGAGATGAATTGCTATTGTGAAAGGAGTTTCTTTTTAAATTAATCATGGCCTACTAGGTAGACCCCCACCTGAAATTGGTGTCATACAGTTGTCTTAGAAGTAAAGAAAGCTGATGCTATAATGATCTTATTCTTTAACATGACAAATTAATTTTGAAAAACATTTAGCTAGCATCCTAACCCAAAACATTTCAAGACAAAGAAAGGGTACTTTTGTTTCATGTTACAGGGCCATAATAGTACCATTTTAGAGAAATTAGTAAATTACAAAGGATGAGGCAAAGTAGAAGTGTGTCCATTATGCCTCACAATTTAGGGCTGCATTGCTAGTGCAGTAATTAATCAATCGCACGTCCTTTACAGAATGTCGCTTTCTTCACGGCAAGCCTGAAAGTATCTCTTTCTTGGCCCGCTCTCCAGCCCTGTGTACTTTCATAGCCAATGCATCTCCAATATCCTGCAACTCCCTTTATGGAAGCCAGTCTCTACCTCCTTCTCCGGAAACTGAAACCTCCATCACCATTCTCTCTAAACCACTAAGTTGCATGATTTTGCCAAAATACCTCAGCTTTTGGAAAAGGATACCTTTTAGGAGTCAATTCACCTTGGTGTTCAGGACATGCAGGATGATATTTTTATTCTTCTTGGTTCACAGTATTTTAAGAATGTTTCTGTATTATGGATTGTGAAGATTATAATACTTACTTTTGTCCCCAAAATGAAAAATTCATCTTCTTACTGACGCTTTGAAGCCAGATCGCCTATATGAGAGCCTGACTTTGTAAATGTATAGCCAGCCACTCTTAAATCAAAGCTAAATAACTACTCAATTACATGTGCTTGTGAGATATCTGGGGAGTCACTGTGGCGTAGCGGCTAGACGCTCAGATTGGAAGGGTGGGTCTGTGGGTTCGCTCCCTGGCAGAGCCTGACTTTTTTTTTTAAATGACCTTCACTTTCAGGTTTACACAGCCTTGAGTGGCAACCGGGTGCAGTCTCGGGAAGTAAAGGTGGCTTGTGTGATGTTGACCCCATCATCCATCTTGTGCCGATTGGTCTATAAATATATAGGTCTAGCCCTATATGCGCTTTACGCCTAAGGCGTGGAAAAGGGTCCTTAACTTCTTCTTTTTCTATATAAATGAGATGCCTGACACATTTAGTCAAAATGAGACTAATAAACATCCAGAACAGTTAAGTAAGTATCATATATGTTATATTATTCTGCCATTTAATGTTATTTAATTTCATTCAACAACAAAAAAGAGGAAAAATATTGAAGCTTTTGAACTGAAATGTTATAGAAAAATTCTTAGAATGCCATGGATCAGGAAGAGAAAAAACATTGCATTCTGAACAAGTTGAACATCAAGGAGAACTGGCTCGTCAACACCATCCAAGTTGAAGTATTTTGGCCACATCAATCGTCACGGTGGCTTGGAAGAGACGGTGATGGAAGGTGCAGTTTGAGGGGGTCAACCACCGCGAAGATGGATACTGGATATTGAAGATGCGTTGGCATTGAAATCACAAGGGACTGGAGAGCTGGCTAGAGAAAGGGATACTTTTAGGCATGCCGTGAAGAGAGCGACGTTCTGTACAGAAGTTAACTGATGAAGATATGGCAATTTCCTTTTTAGTGATATACTTTTTTTTTCATCACTGTTTGCTGATCCAGGCTTGTCATCTGTGTCTGCTTAATCAGAGAATGTGCCTATATTCTCTATGTATCAATCAGGTGCCATCTTCACACACTCACAAAACGGTTTGCTGCAATGGATCTCTAACACACTCTGTAGCACAATCCCTCAAACATGCTTTCATCAATATCTTCAATATAATACTCATCTGCAATGATGTTGGAACCTCGATAAACTTATCATTTGTCAGTTTTTGTTTTTATGTTTTATTGTTTAAATCTCTGCAGCTTCAATAATGTGTGTACCTTGTTTAAGACATTTTCAACCATATCTCTTCTTCTTCTCCATCTTTTTAAAAATTTATTTCTATTCTATTTATATTATTATTATATTATATTATTATATTATATTATTATATTCTATTTATATCTTCCTTCTCTTAAATTTTTTTACACATTTATCCTATTTCATCCCTTTTCTAGAGTCATAACTCTATTCCTTTTACAGAAATTATTTTCCATTGCTTTCCAAATGCTTCTTACCTTCACACCTTTTGCAAAACTTAATTCCGTCATATGGATAACAGTACAGAACCAGTCCCCACTTATTCGTTCTGGCAAGTGGTAAATACATTCCAGGTTTCTGTAACATAATACAATTTATTCTGCATCACTGTGGACAGATTTCTGTCACCTAACAAGCCAGTTTTTTATCATCTTCATCATTCATTTGCTTGACATACAAGTTTCCTTCTACAGCCAAGACAGAACAGTCACATGTGAGTAGGTATACATGTGGTTTGATATTGTACAATATAAAAATATCTGTCAGTTCATAGCACAGCATATATATTACATTATCAATCTCTCTTTTAACAACATGGGCAATTATGCTAGGCAAACGCACATCCACGTGCACACACACATATATGTAAATACAATCATATACACACTTATATGTATTCATTTAGACATCAACACTCATTTATTATCAATGAATCCTAAAATTGTATAATGCTTTTAGAAGATACTTTAGAATTCGCCTAAATCTACTTATTAAATATAGCTTCATTTTCTATCCCCTTAGTTCAGCATTTATAAATAGCACTTTATTAGTTTAACAGCTGTTATTTAGGACCTAAAAAAAAAACAAATCTAGCATCTTTATGCATACTCACTCAAATGTGAATGGCCTGTGGACAAAAGAAAAAAAGATTTTAAACGTGAGTCATAAAATAAGATGACATTTACAATCTTAGTAATGGAAAACAAAAAGTCAAAACAATTTGTCTGTCCCCATTGTGAATTTGAACAAAGAAAACACAAACAATAGACTGTACTATTTACCATCTGACATATTTCACTGCATTTTATTAGATGCATACTATAAAAACAATGAATATAATAAGGAAATAAATAGATATAGTTGTAAGCCCGCATTTTCAGGTTAAAACAAGTAGTTAATTTTGATTGTAGATCAGTAAGAAGGATTTATTTATTTGAAAAGTTTTCTTCGCATTTACCAGCTGTAAATTCCGGCAGAAAGTTCTGGTTGTTCATCCACTTCTAGACTCTAGTTTCGTTCTAGAACCTGAGTGTTGCATGTACATCCATTTTTACAGATCTGACTCATTTGCATGCAGACTTTAGGTTCTTTGCCTCTCAGGCAGATGCACTTCAAGATGCACTTGAAGGAAGCTCACAATTATTTTACTCTTACGACATGCTTGTTGGAGAGGCAGTAGGTCTATTCTTGTTTTCACCCACAATGTGGCCCCAGAACCCACATGTGGAAAACATTTATATATATATGTGTGTGTGTGTGTGTGTTTATGACCTTGTTTTATATAAATGTGTGTGTTTATGACCTTGTTATATGTGTGTGTGTTAAGGACCTTGTTATATATGTGTGTTTATGACCTTGTTATATATATGTATGTTTATGGCCTTGTTTTATGAGTGTGTTTATGACCTTGTAATACATATGTGTGTTTATGACCTTGTTATATATGTGTGCATTTATGACCTTGTGATAAAATGAGAAAACATTGTTTTGAGTTAGTAAATACTTCACCAAAGATTTGTCTAGAAAAGTAATGGCAACTATGTTTAAACTAGCTATATCACCATTTGCTGTGCACTTCTTATTTTCTCTAGTCTAGTTCTGCCTTTCAGCATAGGGTTTTGAGGAGAAGGCACTGGTGCAAACCTTAGTGTGTGCTGCGTAGATGCTGGTATTCTCAGCCTCAAATATTTTATCTATCCATCATTTGCAAGGGCAACATCTGTTTCTGCTTTCATTGTGTCTTAGTAACATAGCTCTCCAACTTGTCTCCCGGTATCTTTATTTCTCATCTTGTCTCTTCTTTTTACATTTAAAACTCATTTTAGACATTTCCTTTCTGTTTTAATATTTGGGGTGGTGGTATGGGGGAGAGTAACATTTTCATTTGGCACTGGTAACACAATGTCGTAAAAAATATTGTATGTATTGAACTGTGCTCTTTTGATATCTCTGTTAATACATGTTCGTTATGTTTTACTGGTGACATATTCCAAATTTCTTTTTATTCACTTTATTACCTATTTATCTTATCTCTGCTTCCACTTTTTCATTGGATGATATTATGCTCGCGGTATACTTGAAGTGTTCTGTTTGATGTGCTGTTGTTTTAGATGCACAACATCCACTGACCACTATTTGGCCATCGAAAAGATCAGATCTATAGCTGTATCAGTGTGTTTACAATGTTTGATCATGAAAAAGCAAATATTATTACAAAAAAAATTAGAATTACAGAAAGCTGCAAATATATTGTAATGTAATTACACCAAGACACCTACCTATTAAAACAAAATTAAACTATGTTTTGCAGAAGTGGTCTCCATGGTCAAGTAAACGCCTCAATCGCTGAAGGTTGAGAGTTCATTTCATGGGCATTTGGTTCAGTTTACTGTTTTTTTTTTACCAATATCCACGTGGAATGTTGCTACAGCTACAGAGTTCATGCTTTGTGTGAAGCTCTTGGCAGACAACTTGCATTCAGTGGAGAGAAACTATGGCATATATGATAACCCAGAGCAATGAAGTCGATCCTCTTGACTTAAGCATTTCGCAGTAACTTCCCAATCAGACATATAACACTAAGTCCCATAATAATTCATTCCCAGCCTTTGCTACCAGTGACAGACTTGATCATTCACAACAAACCAGAAAAGAAAATTGATAACCAAGTAAATAAGATGTCTAAGGAGGGCTGCAATAGTGGCAAAAATAGATAATCAGGAATGAGGTTGTATCTAAGAAGGGCTGCAAGAGTGGCAAGAAGAGATAATCAGGAATGAGGTTGTATCTAAGAAGGGCTGCAAGAGTGACAAGAAGAGATAATCAAGAATAGGTTGTATCTACAAAGGGTTGCAAGAGTGGCAAAAAGAGATAATCAGGAATTAGGTTGCATCTAAGAAGGGCTGCAAGAGTGACAAGAAGAGATAATCAGGAATGAGGTTGTATCTAAGAAGGGCTGCAAGAGTGCCAGGAAGAGATAATCAGGAATGAGGTTGGATCTAAGAAGGGCTGCAAGAGTGACAAGAAGAAATACAAATCAAGAATGAGGTCATATCTGAAAAATGGCTGCAAGTGTGATGAGAAGAGATACAACACAGACATTAGGTCCAAGAGGAAAATGTCGGCACAGACCCAATTCTAAACTGCATACAAAGACAGCAAATCAAATGATTTGCCTACTTAAAGAGAATGCTTTGTGATGCCATACCATACAAGACATACACCAAAAGAGGAAAAGGACATAGCACACAATGTAGACCAAGAACAAGATGAAAAGATAACATTAGAGAAACTCTACAATAGCATAGTGTGTCTATGGATGATGCAACCAGAAAAGGAAGTAGTAGAACCTAATGTCTCCCTTAACACCTGAAGTGGTAAAGAGGAAGTAAAGAAGGAGCAGAAGAGAAGTTCCATAATGTCATAGCTGATGCGTGATTGAGGCAATGATGACAACATTACAACCATAAGTGTACTATATCCACAGGGACAAAAGCCATATCTCTAGTAGGAGACACATGTGTAGTTGGTGTGCTTTGGTTTGGCATAATTACATGTAAAATTTTACACACTGAGTATGCTGCTTGATACATACAAAAGATATCTAGTCACACAAGATACTTAAGACTATCACCATGAGAAAGTCAGTTTTATACTTTTCTGGGTTTTTGATAATATGATGTCTTTGGGCAGTGGCTAATAATAAGCCTGTATAACAGCTTTGATTCTGTGTGCAACTGCATACAATGTAGACATGGTGGGTAGGATTAAATTACAAACAAATATTTCTTGGTGAAAACAAAAATTAGTCAGTTTTAGTGTTATTGTGATGTCATAATAAACTTAGGATGACGTAATCTTGCTCTCTGGCTGTGTCAAAGGGAAAAAACAGTTATTTCTTTCCTCCATGTGTGTTATCACACTGAGCCGGGAATGCAGAGACTGGCCAGACGGTGCCACGGAGGTGGAAATTCAGCAAATAATTTAAGATAATGCTCGCTCAGGGGATTTGATTATTTACACAGACGGTTCAATGCAAGAGGCAAAAGAAGTGCTTGGGGTTTCTTAGAAAAAGGTCGACGTTTTGCGCAGGAAAGCCTAGCGTATGATACCACAACATACAGCTTAAGAATGGAGGTGGAGGCGGTCACTGCAGCTTTCCGCAGGTTAGAGAACACAACACACACAAAATCGTGATTGTAACTGACTAAGAAAGCATGCTGACACCCAAGTAGTATAAAAGAAAGTGAACAAGAAGAAAGCTGTCAAGTAATTATGTTCCAGTAACAGGACAGATGAAATAAACTTCAGATTATAAGCAAGACCCTATAGAACACGAAGTCAGCTTAAACATTAGTGAAAACAGATACAGAAATCTGGGAAAGGTACAATGTTATTGCTCAGAAAAGATACCATACTATGGTGATAACATAAATTATTAACAATATATGTATACTGGTACGTTGTCTTAGGCAAGTCAACAATCAAAATAATTTCTTCAGTACACCAGTATTTAGAGTTTTTAAATGGGAATGTTAAACAAATGAAATTCTGCAATTCATGAGAAAACGATAATACAAAAACAAACCAAGATAATTAGAAACGTAACAGAAACATATGTCACGTGCCTGATTTAAGGATTTCTCCTTAAGAACCAACAGCACTCTAAAATAATAATGTTGAGTCGTTGGCTCGTATTGGTCTATGGGATATCCCGTGGCCAATATACGCTTAACTTATTTCAGGAGTAGGGCAACTCAAGCTTTGACACTACAAAATATATAATTTTCCTAGGCACATTTGGCTGGACACCCCCACTACTACAAAAAGGTAGCCCCCAGGTTATGATAGTATACTATCATAGCCATGTTAACACAGATTACACTTATTAGTCACACAAACATAAAAGCTAGACAGTTAGAATGGTGAAACAGGGACACCCAAGTCAGCCATGAACATTTCTGTATGTAATAAGTTCAATATGTACACATATATAGATGAATAGATAATCAAGAGTGTTTAGTGAATGGAGTTCAGGAATTAATGACACAACCCAGATGTTGAAGCAGCCAGATGTAGTTCCTGGATATTACATGAGTTCATCCTTGAAATCAAAAGATAACTGTGGGAAGAGAGCATGTATATGATTAAGAAATCACTTATCCCAGTTCGTAGGTCACTGCTTCCCTCAGTCCATTGTGATTCGACTGTGGTTGACTCAATGGATAGCTATGCCTCTGTTTGATCTGGTACACGCTGACTGTCTCACATCTGAAGACACAGGAACTGCATAGGAGCCCAACAAAGCTCTTGAAGACTGATTCTCTGGATTGATGACATAGGTGCCTGCAATGGTCTACTAGTCCTGGAACTCACAAACAAGCTCCTGCCATGTTGAGGTAGTGGCAACAATAGGTAGGACATTTGGGTATGCTTGGTGCCCAGAATGGTATGGGTTGGTGGTTGTTGGCTGACTATGATTCGTCTGTCTGATCTCTAAGGAGGTATCATCCTGTCAGGAAAGAATTCAGAATTAGTAATCATCCTTATTCACACACCAGCTCACCCCACACTCTGCTACCCTTCTCCATTCCTCAGAGTGTAACTCTCAAGAACAGGAGACAATGTCTCCTTTCATTTATCTGTCTGTAAATTAGTACACCAGATAGAAGACAAGGTGGAGACAGATAAACACTACCGCACATAGATCATCCTCTCTCCACCCTCACATCTGCACTCGCAGACATACAATGTATCCCGTAAGTACCTATATATATATATATATATATATATATATATATATATATATATATATATATATATATATATATATATATATCACGTCTCCACAGTCTGCTCACTACACACCCATTGTTTCCGTGCCAAACACACCTTTGACTCAAAGCGTCTAGCTCTGACGTCACAGTATCTAGCTGGTTAAAAGACCACCCAGATTCCATATTGCTGCTATTAGGCACAAAACTTCGTTTGTCTGGTCAGAGAATAATTATTTGTAGGGTTTAATATCTTTACAAATGGTGTGGGTTATGTAGAGCACAAACTATTTAGTCTGCACAGGGAAAGGTTTAATGTTCGGAGCCTGATCTCTGGACATCAAGAATGGCCCAACTCTGTGCGATCACACAGCTGAATCTTCCCTCTCTGCAGCAGTGGCCAACTTTAAAAAGACATATATTATGGTACTCGTAAACTATAATCAACTTACCCAAGCTTAGGAATTCTTCCAAGATAACTGGTACTTTGAATGCGCCAATTTTATTCATAGACTGTATACACGTCTTGACACTTTGGAGATCAGGCTGAAGAATGCCGCTCAAAACTAAGCTTGGCGTCTCTAGGAAAGAAGTCCCTGTATTCATGCCCAAGGAGTAAACAGGCTTACATGAATTTCTGAATTAAACACCAGAAATACTCAGCCCACAGTTGCAAGTTTGAAAATCTAGACTTCTCAAAACAACTAGAGGGTCTAGAAATGATTATTTCACCAGATAGAGGTATATATCAATATAAGGGACTATATACCCCTCCTGACGGGTTTAAGTTTGAAATGTGACGTACCCGCTTAGGGAGGTCAGAGTCACGACTCGTCCATCGTGTACGGTTGGCTGTTCACTCCACGACAACATATACAAGTAAACACATTTTTTTTTTAAAAAGACTGATATTTGGACAAATCAGAAAAGGTTGAAAATTGGGACAAACATGAGAAAGATCTAAAAACGTGCCATTTTATAACAAGTAAATTTACTAACATGTAGGAGAATCTTTTTAATAGTGCCCTGACAATGTAAACAGCATTATTTACATTTGGTGCATTTTGCTCTCTCTCTCTCTCTCTCTCTCTCTCTCTCTCTCTCTCTCTCTCTCTCTCTCTCACACACACACACTCCCCCTCCCTCCCCTCTTTCTCTCTCTCCTCCCTCATCTCTACGCTCTTGTACTATGATGTTGGTCCATAAACTCAGCTCGACTAAACAGCAGATTTAAAGAAAAAATAATAAAAGAAATAATGTGCTTACTTTTACCACCCCAGCTTCTCCGTTCTGCCACACATAACCACAAGTGATCAGAGCCAGTTGAAGGTGGGCAAGCCTCAGCTGATGATGTCCAGTGAGCTTATTATGGTCTAAAAGAGGCAGCTGTCAAAAACAGAAGTTTTATGAGACCAAAGCAAAACTTGACTTTCTAAAACAAATCATCAAGTTTTTTCAAGTCATCTTTTTTATTCAAATCTTGCTTGGTATTTGCTTAATCCGCAAAATGACGTGATTATTGTATTTACCTATCACCATTATCTTTGAAGACAGGGGACCTGATTCACTACTCCACCTTTAGGGAATAGTATAGCATTCTTCCACATATAGTTGGATTGTTCATGTTTTTCTTTAAAAAAAATTCCAAAACCTTAGCAAAGAGTTGAGTTGAGCTGGCTCAAGAATCAACATAATCGCACCCGGGGCATTCCCAGAAGTACTCCGTCCCCATTCAGTCCTTGCAGAGGGTCAATACCAATACTGTCGTTAACAGTCTGATTATATGTCCGTCTTGCATTTCCTCTGCGTATCGATTATCCTCCTTAGCAAAGATAAAACGTACAACCTGTGCTGCATTAAGCAGACGTTTCTATACCTCAACACTTGCTCAAAAGTCTGCCTATGCATAACATTCAAATAAACACATAGATGTTATTTTTAAAACTAAGTTGCATATCCTTCAGAGGATGATGCCACCCGACTCAGCATTTGTTGACTGTTTTAGAATTTTACATTCAGCAATCTGCCTGTATGAAGAATTAAAAATCAAACATCACAGCACTCGGGGCGCACTCAATCCCCATCTTCAGCAGCAAGTACAGAGTTCCAATGCCGATGGTACCAGCAACAATCTGATTGAATATCTGTCTCATCTGTCTCTTGAGTGTTGAGCAGATCCCAGGTCAGTCCTCGCAGCATCATTCTCCTCAGACTGAACTGTTCACTTGCACCTCAGAGGACCCTTACATTATCTAGCTAGTCATGTCTCAATTCACCACCAAGTCGTGCAGAACCATGTCTCCACCTTTCACACTATGCTCTGTGTCAGTTACACTTATGGCCTGTGTGTACAGCTGGTTTTTAAGCTAGCAGAAGGCTGCAGTAATTGTGTCTACCTCCATTCTCAAACTAGATATTGTGGTATCATATGTCAGGTTTTTCTGCACTAAACAATGAACATTTGCTTTTGCTATGAACCTCCATGCATTTCTCCTGTCTCCCGGGTGTCAAACTCCTTGTGGTCCAGGTTCACCCTCAGGGGTAGGTAGAAAAGCTACATATCTCGCATATTTACGGTATCTATCATGGAATCAAGGCTAAAGGGTTGCGATATCCATAGAACCGAGCCAAAGGGTTTACGACTAACAGTTTCAGGGCATATTTAAAAAAAATTTTGCTGTAAACAAACAGTAGATTGAGTCTCTTTAGGGTAGCCGTTCAAAGGAGGGCCAAATGTTATATTTTTCCCTAATCCCGGGGAAGTGAATCAAATGTCTTGTCTTCAAAGATTAGGGTGAAAACTAGCAACTGTGGTGCAAGTTTAAAAAAAAATCTCTTAGTGTATGCTATGCAAACTAACGATACATACCCTGTCTACGGCCTGTCTAAATGTTTTTTCTTTAAATAAAATGGGAAGTGATGTTGCCAGATCATTCCACGGATCAAAGTAAGCTGGTAACAGTTTCTGGTAATAAAATAACAATGGAAAATGAAATTATGGACTACTTTATATATACTGATTGATAGCTCTGTTGTACTAAAATACTTGCAGTTTTAAGTATTAAATAGTACAGTAAATAAGAAGAGCAGATCAGAAGTCAAGATGTCTGCCTCTGGCTCATGCTATCCTGGGTTGAGTAAAGTTGAGTCAAGAATTGACATCAAATCACTCGGGGCATTCCCATGTGTGTTCTGTCCTCATCTTCAGCAGCCAGCGCAGAGTTCCAATACTTATGGTACCGGTTACAATCTGGTTATATGTCCGTCTGGCCTTTCATCTGAGCGTAGTGAGCCCGCCAGACCCTCTGGTTACACCCAGGTGCCTCATTCTCTCCAGGCCATAATAATCATGTTTCTCTTCTGATTCGTGTTTCTCTGCTGATGTCATCTTGGTTGATCTCACAGTGTTGATTGTTTGCATTTTTAAAAAACCGTAAAACTTGATGGTATGCTTCTCCTTTTTATAGATTAGTTAATCAGACACATGGCCTACTCAGATAAGGTTGAAATATTCAGAAGAACCATGTGCAAGATAAAAATGTGTCACTATATGGAAAAATAAACACTCAACAGTGTGCTGTCCAGGAAAAAATATTGATAGTGAAAAGTGATTACCACCACCAACTCCTCTTGCTGGTGGTGGTGGTGGAAGTGGTGGTGGTAGTGGTGGTGGTAGTGATGGTGATGGTGCTGCTGCTGATTTTCCCTCTATTTCATTTTATTTTCCTCCTCTTGGTCCTTCTCCTTCTTCTTCACTTTTCTTTTTCATCTTCTTCTTCATCTTCTTCTTCATCTTCTTCGTTCTTCTTCTTCCTTCTTCTTCTTCCCTCTTCTTCTTCGTTCTTTTTCTTTGTTTTTCTTCTTCGTTGTTCTTCTTTGTTCATTGTTCTTCTTCGTTCTTCATTCTTCGTTCTTCATTCTTCTTCTTCTTCTTCTTCTTCTTCTTCTTCTTCTTCTTCTTCTTCTTCTTCTTCTTCTTCTTCTTCTTCTTCTTCTTCTTCTTCTTCTTCTTCTTCTTCTTCTTCTTCTTCTTCTTCTTCTTCTTCTTCTTCTTCTTCTTCTTCTTGTATATCTGTCTCACCGTCTGGTAACTCCTCGCAGTGACATTCTCCTCAGACTGTAATGATCTATTTGTGCCACCGCATAGTTTACTCGCTCCCAAAGGGCCTTCACAACATCTAGCTTGTCATACGTCAGTTCACCACCGAGTGGTACAGAACCAGTCAGTCTGTCTGCCTGCTCATTTCTCAACACACTGACATTTTCTAAAGAAAAAATTAAAAAGGACACTATCTACCCAGGACCTCTGAAGCGATGCTTGCCACTCTGCATGGAGCATGCCTTTATGCACCTTTCTCAACATGCTTTATTAGTCAGTTACAATTACGACATGTGTCTATAGCTGATTTTTAAGCCAGAGAAAAGCAGCAAAAAAAGGGGCTGGGGTAGAAGGCAGTATAAAAACTTACCAGGGGTTTCCGCAGCATGAAGCCTATATCACTGTTGATGTGGTATTTCTTCAAATCAAAGACATGACATGGACCTTTAGACACTGGACTCATTGTAAGCACTGCTTGGAAAATTTACAGATTACAATACGAGAGAAAGTCTATAAGTAAGTCAGATATTATTTACCGTCGTTTTTAGGATGAAATTTTTCGTGATTTGAAGCCCCTCCCTGGCTCTTGCCAGGGGCCGCAATATAGCCAGGCCATAAATATGGCCTAATGGCTGAACGCGGTTTGTGGGACCTCTCCACGGTGATTCTCATCCCCATGGTGGCTGGCACTTTGTGTCATCGGGTGTTTATCACTTGTGTGATGTCCTGGTGGGGTAGAAAGTCCGTCAGTCAGCCATAAGTAAGTAAGTCATAAATGGTTGTTTCTAAAAAAAAAAAAAAGTAAGGACGATAACAATTTTAAAAACATTTATTTTTACACACCGTCCCTTTATTTATCAACAATTTCCACCAACATTGATGAACTTGTCCCATCATTTTTTTAGTCCTCACAGCACTCTGGCGTGCTCTGTTCTGGTTTCTAAATCACATTTTCCCTTCATATTCAACTTCTGTGTTATTCACGAAATGTCTCACGTTAAGGTGGATTTTCAGTCGACCGCTTTACTTGATAAACATTTGTCAGCATAAACTGGAAGAATTTTTTTATGAATATCCTCTGCAGGCAGCCCCCCCCCCCCCTAAACGCACATTAGGAGTTGTTTTTCGAGGGTACACTCTGTAAGTACAGTATCCCTATTTGTTCTGTGTTGTGTTGCCAATGCGCAATAGAGACATAATGTTCGATGTTGCGGTCACATAATGACACCTTTAGAAACCACGTTTTCCTGCCATCCAATAACCATTTCTGACTTAATAAGTAAATCAGAAGACTTCCTCTGCTTTAAAACATTCAACACAAAATATACTATTGTAACTTCAACACTCTGTCTTGGAACTTCTCCACTCTGGCTTGTAACTTCTCCAAATTTGCTAGTCCCTTCATCACTTCTACTAGTTACTTCCCTACTCTGGGTTGTAGCTTCTACCACTCTGGTTTCCAACTTCCACACGCTGGCTTGTAACTTCCCCCACTCTGACTTGTAACTTCCCCATGCAGGTTAGTTACCTCCCCCTCTCCGCCATGTTACTTCCTCACTTACTCCAGTTAGTTTCTCTCCTACTCTGGTTTAAAACTTCCCAACTCTGGCTAGTTACTTCCACACTCTGGCTTGTAATCTCACCACTCTGTCTTGCAACTTCAACACACTGTCTTGCCACTTCAACATCCTAGCTTTAGCTTCTTCACTCTGGTTTGTTACTGTCCACTCTGGCTTGTAACTGTCCACTCTGGTCTGTTACTTTCCCACTATGGTTTGTTATCCAGAGTTTAGTGTGTAAACCCCCCACCCTCTCTCTCTCTCTCTCTCTCTCTCTCTCTCTCTCTCTCTCTCTCTCTCTCTCTCTTTCTCTGGCTTGCTACCTTCCTATTCTGGCTTGTAACTTCTCCACTCTGAGTTGTAACTTCCCTACTTGCTTATGAAAGAGAGAGAGAGAGAGAGAGAGAGAGAGAGAGAGAGAGAGAGAGAGAGAGAGAGAGAGAGAGAGACCAAATTATAGAGTTATTGTCCCCAAAGGTTTGCTTATCGTAGGATTAACACTTCAAGAATGAGAATCAGAGAGAAGCAAATCACAGAAAATCCCGTTCAACTGTATAACCAAGTTATATCAGGCCACCTCTTAAGCAGTTCAAGGTGAGGTATAATTATACAGTTCTTGAAGTGATCCATTGAACACTACAAAGCTTGTTTGATATGGTCTAAACTTTTTTTTTTTTTTTTTTTTTTTTAAATTTCCCCTTAGAAATATTGTTATCATACTTTTTTAATGAATACTATTCCTCAACAATACTGATGTCAATCTGATCAAATCAAAAACAAAAAACGGGCAGCAACCGATCACCTCTTAGGAAGTTTCCAGTGGCGAAATAGTCTACATGGTAAACAAAAAAATCAAAACCTAAAAAGTGGTGTCCGCTTGCTTACTTCCTTAGTGCTAAAACTGAAAATCACACACTTAGACTCCTCGTGTTCGTACCCTAGTCTCGTCGGTTTCAGGAAAGAAAACAAAGTTTCCACCTCGCTCAACCTGTTCGCTTAACTTTAATGAAAGCTGAGTAAGGCTATGTTTTGCTTGTGTTGGTAGTGAGTAATATATGTAGCCAAAGAAGTCATGTGACACACGATACCTATGGCAAGATATTTAGTTTATCATTGCCTTCTGTGTCGGAAACCAACGCAAGGTGGTCTCGCACATTAAACGTAAGTGCGCAATAGAGGACGACACTAATTATAAATGCTCATTTCACGACTATTTACATTTGCGCTTTTCAATTTTTTTTGTGGAAAAGGTGGGGAGGGGGGGGGGGGGGGTTTGGTTATTATTTATTGTTTTAACAACCCTCAATGGGTTCTTGAGTACCGGCCCACGCCACTTGTTTTAGTACAATTATTATTTCTTATTGTTCATGCTGACAGAGGCCACGTTATGAGAATGAATCCGGATTTACCCGCCAAAACAGCTCTCATGTGAACACCAAAGGGAAAGAGAAAACAGGGGCGCCCAAAAACAACATGGAGACGAACGATGGAAAGTGACCTGAGTGCGGCATCCTTGACATGGAAAACTGCACTGAAGATTGCACAGGGCAGGAAAGCATGGAAAGTCCTCTCTGAAACCTCATGTGCCACTAGGCATAACGAGAACTGATGATGATGATGATTATTATTTCTTAGCCAACATACTTGACACAAAGAAACCAGACCATGTTTGTAGGTTGAACGTGGTCAATTTTGTGGATGAATCGCGGTCTGCTGCCAAAATCACCGACAGCAGGCAATCGGTCTCCTCACCACGGAGGTAGGAAGCACCTTCGCAACGACTGTCACAGACAGATAAAGTACGAGAGAAAGAGGTGGAAAGAAACTACCGAAACAATGGCAACATGTTTTTAAGAGTGAAGAAACTTCCTCTTCTTTACTTCTTTTTGGGGTAGAAGGAGATATAAGGTCGTGCTTCTTGCTGTTCTTTTAGCCTCAACCAAACATATCGTGCTCTTGTGGAGTTTTTTCTAATATTATCTCTCCATCACCCATCCTGTGCCGTTGGTCCACAAAATATAGGTCTAGCCCTATATATCCAATACGCATGAAGGTCGTGGAAAAGGTGTCGTATGGCAGTTTAGTCGCGTACCTCCACTTCAGGATTATTTTCCTAAAATCCTCAATTTCTCTGAGATAGGGGTATTCTGAATGTTGGCTCTCGTTTGTCTAGAGGCCAAGTCCTCGGTTCAAACATACATTCAGCCCATTTCAGAAATGAGGTGACTCGAGCTCTGACTCCACAGGGCTAATACAAACTCTTGGGTACAACTCGGCCAGACATCCTCAATACTAATTTTGCCAACA